GCAAACACACACACACACACACACATATATATATATATATAATACATAAGTAATTAATGACATTAAAAATTTTAACTTTTAATTGCATTTTTTTTTAAATATTTTTTTGATTGACAGATAAAAAATATTGGATCATCACTAAAATTAGTATTATGACAACTGTCCGAACAAGAAGCCATTGTTTAGTTTTTTAGTAATAAGAACACACCCGTCTACAGACGTCAGTTTGTATATATGGAGACTGGTGTGGCTTGTTAGAAGGTTAAGTTAGTTTAAAAAAATTTAATTATGATAATGAAATTAAGTTTTATGCAAATTATGCAACTTTAGGTTTAGATAATAATAATCAATAGATTAAAAACTTAATTTTCTTCGAAATAGAAAATTTACAATCAGTTAATTGTTCATTTGCTCATAGAAACATATTGCTCATAGAAACTTTTTGCTCATAGAAACTTTTTATTTAGTAAAGAGTTAGGTTATACTAATTTTTAATAACTAATTAGTTTTAATAATTTTTTTTTTGAAGAATAGCAAACGAATAAATAACACAAAAAATATAAATTTTAAATTTTACTCTTTTTTGATGATAAACTAGTTTTAGTTGTTTAAAAACAGTTTATTTTTTTCTGAAATTTTAGAAAATAAACATCATTCTTTTATTAAATTGGTCTCAAAAAAATAAAAATTAGCATTTATTTAGATCAATTAGGTCAAGTTTTTAAGTTATTAAACATACTTAACATATTAGATTTGCGTCCTAGCAATAAATTTGTACTTCTGTAAGTCTATCTGTGTGTTAAATTTCATTGATGACAGTATTCTTTATTGAACATTAAAGCATGTTTATTTATTATATCATTTTATTTTATTACAATAAATAGAAAAAGTTTTAGGAGAAAAATCAGTCAGTTTTCTACAGTTCAAAGCCGTAAAAATGAATTGAAGTATCTTACTACAGAGGTAACCAAAATATATTTTTACTTATAAAAAATGTTACATAAAATATGCGTTAAATAAAAAACAACCTCTGTAAGTAACATAGCTCAATCGATTAATATTTTCGGACTGAATTAAACAAGAAAAACTGTTATGCAAAAACTTTTTTTTTTAGGCGTTTCTTAGTTTTTAATTAATTAAATATATCATTAAGTTGAAAATAAATAAGCATAATATAGTTATAGTACCAAAAACATGTACTTTTTTTACCCGTGAAACCCCCCGCCCCCTCTTAAAAAAAGAAAATTGAAAAAATTGTAAATAATTTATTTAATAAAGAACTATTAACCTAATTCCGTAAATTAAGTATTTAAAAAATTTAAAATTGGAAAAATTTTTTAGAAATGTAACTATAACCTTATTTCCGTTTATTAACGCGTAGTGTAGCAAGGCCCCGCGGAGGTCCGATAATTATGTGGATGACTACTATATTATTGCTCTAAATCGGGAAGATATTGACTGGAAAAACCAACAAATGCTTATCTATTCTAACATTGCCTCTGCAGCGGAACCGATTCCACACTATGAAAGAATTCCTTTTCCTAACTTCAATGTTTTGCCTCAGATAAATTTATCCTCAACCAATAAAAATTCATTACCCGAAGATGAGAGATATAATCAAAACTTTTTAGTTAAAGCCACACTTCATCTATTCTCCTAAGTAAGAAAAACTTTTACTTACGTACTTATCTAAATTTTATTACTTTTTATTTGTATTGTGTTATTTGTAATGTTTTACACTGTGCCCTTTGAATCAATAGATACATTTGTTACAGAAAGGGTCATGTTTGAATCAATAAAGTATTATGTTAAAGAAAATGTCATGCTTAATTTCTCTAAAAACACTAATAACAACTCAGGTACACTGTAAAGAATAGTTTTATGAGCATTTATAAAAATTTACTAGAGCTAAATCTTGAGGGAAAGAGAGTACGAAAACTAGATAGAGACAAAATCGAATTTAACAAGAAAAATCCCTTGAAAATTTGTTGAAATGTTCCAATATTATTTTGTTTCCCAGAGTAATTTTTTTAATTATAATTTTATTGCTAGTGTTGTAGTTTATCCTAATCCAATTAATTGATATGGAGACAAGTTCAGCCATACAATTTATTGCCACACAGAGACAAGTTCTGCAATCCAATTAATAACCACACGGAGACAAGTTCAGCCATCCAATTAATTGCCACTTGGAGACAAGTTTAGCCATCCCATCCTGACTAAGATAAGTAAGTTTAAGAAGAACAGAAAAATTTTAGGTAATCCATTCGAGTGTAAAAAGAAAGCATTAAGAAATGCGGACAGACCGGTTGTTTATAAAAAAATAAAAAAACTTAAAATTTGTCTCGTCCTTTAGGGCTGAAAAGTTTTTTTAAGTAAATTATTTTCAAGAAATCAAGTTCTCTTCACTAAATAAAACTCTTCGATGTTTTGATTGTTTAAAACAAGTTTTTCTCAATAATGGGAGTAACAAATATGATTGAATTCGTTTATTAAACAAATCTTATTTTTATTTATTTATTGCACAACTTTCTTATAAAGGTTAATGGCTTTTTTTAAACGTAATAAAATATTCTATTTTCCGTTAGAATACACAGAACAAAGAGAAATCAGATGGGATAAAAAGTTTATTAAAAGAAAAGATTATCAACTTAAAAAAACAAAAAGCATGATTTAATTTTAAATAGTTAATTTAGAACCATTTTTTTAAATTTAACAACTTTTTATATACAAACATAATTTAATAGTCATAAAAACATTAATTTTAATAATTTAAACATTGACTTGGGGTTTTCAATAAAAATTTTAATACGGCCACAAATTTATACTTTATAAATTATACTTTATATTTATAATTTATAATTTGAAAATCCAAAGAAGTTTCTATTGCACTATAACTTTTTGAACAAAATACGGAAGATTATTAAAAACAATTTACTAAACGCAAAATTTTTATTAAGTATCCTAACATATCAAGCCATTGACAAGTATCGAGTTAAGTATCTTAACATAAGAGCCGTGGCTAGGCTACCTAAGAGGGAGGGGAGGGAATTATATACCAGTGAATTTAGGGGCCCATTTGCAAATTTAGGGGCCTTTTTAGAAACCTAAAGAGTTTTTTTTTTTTTTTTGTAAAACCTTGTGGAAAATATTTAAAAAAATTGAGGCCCTAATTACAGTTTTTTGGGGAAGGCCTTTAAAGTAATAATTTAAAGTTAGCGCTTTTGGTATATACAAATTAACTTCTTTCAAACTCAAACATAAACAAGTTGAATTACAGCAGAAAAAATACTTAATAAAATCAAGAGTTATAACAGACAAACTCGAAGAAGAACAAAGCCGAAAATCGTTGCAAATCGCATTACTGGCTTAGTAGTATAATTGAAAAAAGAAATTTTTAAAATTTAGTTCGTAACCTTTGAAAGCTGTAATCGAAGTGAATTACTCTATTAAAGTTAACTGAATACGCGTATTTAATTGAAAAATATGCTACTACTAAGACTGTCCTTTGAAAACACTTTTGATAAAAGACATGTTTTAGAGGTATTTAAGTATTTAACGTCTTTTAGACGTCTAAAACACTCTTTCTGTTTACACGTTATGTTTACACGCCTTATGTTTAAAGAAATATTTTAGTTACTCAGAAACATTAAATTTAAAAATAAAGATCATATCTTATGTCCAAAAAATATCTTTATGACTCAAACTTGTTACAGCCGTATTCAGATGACAATTGACTATTCAGATGACAGATGTCTGAAGGCGACGCTTAAATAAGGATAACAAAACTGATGATTTTTGAAAATAACGGACAGGGCAAACACTTTCAGCAGGAATTTTTATCGTTATCTGGATTAGAATCAAGGTTTTAATGTAAGATTTGTAATTTACCGTTATGTATAATGGATTAAAAATACAAATACATTAAAAATTTTCTCAAGCAATACTGACAGACTGCGGCGTCAATCTAATTCCTACCATTTCAAACTGGTCTATAACAGTTAAGTTTTTTTATCAATGTTAATTCAAGCTTGTTTTAGAGATGCTTGTAGTAGAGTATAGCTAATGCATCGCTTGATGTTGTGTGTTGCAGTACTTCACACTGTTGCGACAACAGAATTTTTGAGAAATGTTCTAAATAATAAGGAAATGAATACCAAAAATTATTTTAATTTGTTTAAACCACAAAAATTTATTCTCAACAAAAGCATTTTTTAAACACGATCACAACGTTTAACCAATTGAATACTTGAAAACTAAAAATAATAGTTGCTTATTTATCAAAATTAAGTACTTGAAAACTAAAATTAATACTAATTCAACTAGCATTTTTTAAAATGGTTATTAAAGTGCTCCCAGAAGTCCTTAAGGTCTTAACACAGCGCTGTGGAAGAGCATTTTGCTATGATGCTTTCTTACCAACGTCGCTTTATTCGGCATCGATCTTCAGACCTATAGGTTTTATAAATAAAGCACTTTAAATGCCCTTTATTGGAATAAACATCTCAATAAAGAGAAATATTTACAGAACGTTATTTTTATAGACGTATTGAAGCTTGTTAGAAGTTCTAAGGATTTTTTTAAGTTAAAGTAAAAAAAAATCAAATTTTAACGAAAAAAAGCTTCAAATTACAAATAGATTTATATTAAACGAATAAATGAAGGCTAAATGACTGATTCCACCAGCAGATTCCATGAGCACCTTATTTCTGGTTAATTAGATTAAGTTTTTTAATTTGAAAACTTAAATTAAATTGTCTTTTTTAATTTAAATAACTTGAAAAATGATTAGACATAATTTGGGCATAAGAAAATAAACCATATGTAATTGAAATATTTATGTTTAAAAGCCACTCCTAATCAAAATAGCACAATATAGTTAAGACAAATAACAAAAGTTACAGTGACGTTGCTAATGTTGCGTATGTTGCGTTGGAATCAACAAAATCAACAACAGATTTACTGGTAATATAACAAACGATTCGATTATTAATCGTTATTTATTTACCACGCATTAGCGCATAATTTCATTGGAGAGGATTATCATAAATATGCAAGTTTAGGGTGTGTATAAATTACTTGCATTTCGGTGGGTAAAATTAAAATTAGTCACGTTTTGAACTAGGCGGTTGCTTATATATTATAAAACTCCAGAGGTAAGTCAAGCTTGACAACAATATATAGTTGTATTAAAACCTAATATTTTATTTATGAAATGCTTTTTGATTAAGTTTTTGCTAAATTTTACGAAAATCTTTTCTTTTTATAGAAAATACTATATTCACTAAAAAATACTATATTTACTGTGTTTACTTTCTTATAGAAAATACTACGCTATTGTGTTTTTATTTTTCCAAAAATAAAGTAGTTAACCGAAAAAAATGTGCAGTATATTTATAAAAGACACATTAAACCAAGCACATCCTGATGAAGAAGTTGTGACGGCAGATGACGATGAAGTTAAAAGTTCATAAAAAAATGACAAAGATAGTTAACGCAGTGTAAGAATAGTTTATGTTTATTGTTCCAAAATCATATAAAATGATTACTAATTTTATATTCATAAAAAAAAATACTAACTTTATATTATTACTATTTTATTAAAGTTATTAGTTATAAAAAATGAGACGAGTTAGACCAAAATGATATCAAAATCTGATTTCATTTTGTTGAGTTGTTTAGGGAGAAGGAACTGTGATGAAATAAAAATTTTATTGTAGTTTAATTATATTTACAGATGTAATTTAGTCAATTACCTCTAGAGTAGAAAATAATCAGAATTGATACAAATGATTTTTAACAATTTGTAATGGTAATGGTAAATAACGCTAGAGGTATTTTTAAGTAGTCTAAAATGAAATAGAATATGAGTGTTTAAACAATCCAGTGCAAATAAGTGTATCATTTTTAACATTGCTTTTTATAAACGTAAAGCTATATATGCCTAAATAATTTTGCAACGACCGATGTAACTTTTTTACAGATATTTTTTGTAACTCGTGTTTATTTTGCGATACTTTAAATAGAATAGTTGATAGTTTCTAAAATTTATATTTAGTCATTTTGTACCGATCACTAGATGATAAATTAATGAATTACATTTACATTTAAATTTTCAATACGTATGTTTCAATTGCAAACTGAAAATTTCTCCAGGCAACGAATCACACTTATAAAACAAACATAAACTTCTGTTTGACTTAATTTTCCTGTAAGTTATGGTATAAATATTCAAGTTTTAGTATAATCGCTGGTGTTTGAATTTATTAGTTGAGACTGTACATTAGTATGAAATGCTCATTATTATCCTTTGATAAGTCTGCGTATAATAGTTAGCAATTATAGTATTCATTAAAAACAATTAAAAGTATTCATTAAAAAAAAATTACTTTACAAGTTTCACCAAACTATATAATTCAGTATTACGGAATAATGGAATTGGTCTTTGGCAAATAACATTTAACCGAATTTGTAATTGGGAGGGGGGTGAGTGGAGGAGGGGTGCTTTTTTAAAAATATAATAATATAATGCTAAGTGTATGTCTACATATGTTTAAAAAATAAATTTAAATTTAAATTTTAATATATGATATATTTTTAATGAACTAGTATAAAACTTATTTAATTTTTTTTTTCTTCAGGCATATTTATGGCGCGGAAGACGAATTTTCAATTGTTTATGTTTAGAATATTTATTTAACACCTTTGCAAGTTTGTTTTTTCTTCGTTTTATTCTCCATTTGTCTTTATTGTTTTTATTATCATCCAAAGACTAAGAATTTGTATTTATTTGCGCAAATGACTCATAACTTTTGTTTATCTAATGTTGAAGTCGAATAGGTAATGAAAGTAAGGAAAAAAATAAGTAAAGAAGTTTGAAATGTTAAAGATAATTCAAAAGAAATTGTTTTTGTTCAATAGTTTCTAAATAAAAGCTTAGCTAGTAAATAAGTCCAGCAGACACAAACCAAAAATCCAGCAGGCGCAGACGTTCGTATGTATCCAATAGATGTTTTTGTGCCAACTGGGAAAACAGATTGATTTAAAAAAATGATAATAATAAAGTTATTAGTTTCTACTTATTTTTTGTCTTTTATACCAACAAATATTAATGGCTCGGGAGAAGAACCAAAAGGAGGAAACTGCATTCTGAATATTCTTTTCAAGATCTTATTCTCTTTTTAAAATACCATTTTTCTTTTGTTTTATTTTGTCTTTGTTGTTTAGGCTAATATTTTACTTTTTCAAAATGAAATTAGAAGTAGAAGCAATCATAAAAGATAAAGAAAAAATTTAATATTTTTAGACTTAGTTTTCCCTCTAAAAAATATAAAACTTTTATTGTAGAGAGCGAAAAACATTAACTGACTAGTAATTTTTCTGCATTACTATTTTTTTTCTGATGTTAAAAAAATAAAAAAATAAAATTTTGAAAAATAAAAAATAAAAATCTGAAACGATTAAACTTTAAAAATTAAAAGTTTAATCTGAGAGTTTAACATTTTAAAAAATATTTAAAATTTTTTTTAAACAATTCGATATTTAGAAAAATGTTTTTTAATATAGCAAAATAACTTAAGTTACTGCAAAAGTTTATATGTTTTTTACACATAGGGCAGAGTGGGGAGAAGTGGGACTTTAAAGATAATTTGTAGAATAGTTTTAAAAACCTTTTTGTACTGATTCCATCCCCTAAGATTGACAGCAGATTATAGTAAAGTATATATATTTTGAATTTTAAAAGAACCGTATTATTGGAGTAGTGGGACAGGTATGGGGCGAAGTGGGATGAGCGAGTAGTTAACAATATGTTAACAAAAATTTTTAATTAAAAACAATTAAATTTTAAATCTTATTTAAAATATTTAAAAGGTTTTTCAAGTTTCAAAAGAGTGATATGGGAGAAGTGAGAGATCAATTAATTTTTTTTTGTCCCACTTCACCCCTCGAAAATTTGTTTTTTGGTACTTTCTTAAAATGTAGAGTTAGTTTACAGGCAGCATCCCATAAAACATTATAAAATTTTTTAACACATCCCTTACCGATAACTTTCGACTCAATTTGGTTTTGAACTCATGAAACGGTGGACTTGTTTTAAGTTTGTTAGTTTGTATTTTATCTTATACCTTTGGTTCTTTAAAATATTTTTCTAACTCAGTAAACACACGTCTGAAAGACGCATAAAAAACGACAGAGGTTCAAAAGACGTAACACATCTTTAAGATGCATGTGTTTATTGGGGAAAGTAAAAACGGAAAACTAAGTAATTGCAAAATAAGTTTTGGGAACAATAACATGCGTGATTTCATTTTTTTTTTTTGTTTGTTTTGCTTATTAAAGCGTTTTTTATTTCATTTTTATATGTACTGCAATAAGCAATTTATAATTAAGATTAAAATGTATGAAATAAAAGTATAAAGATTTCAAGAAAAATGGATTTAAAAAAAGTTTCGCTCTTCAAAATATGTCGATGTGTTTTGATATTTGATTTTCGAAATAATGTATGTGATCCATGTTAAGTTTTCGTGAAGTTCGCCAAGAAATTTTGTTTAAGTTAGATTTAGTAACAATTGCACATGACTTCATTTAGTAACAAACACATGAGCATCTATCAAACATCGAAACAACGTTTAAACAAAGCGTTTGATTTTGGTCGATTATCCGTATAGAAAAAACCTACATTACTCTTAATCATACTTTCAACTTCTAATATTTGCTTATTGAACGTAAAATAAGCGTTTAGAATCAAACGCGTATAAACGCGTTTAAAGTTAGTCACCTAAAATCAATATTTAAAAATTTTAAATTGGTCTTTTTATTAATATTATTATTTATATAAGGGTTTTACTAAACGTGTATAAGAATATAATAATAAAATAATAATATATACTAATATACTCTATTAAATACGTTTATAATAATATACAATGAACACTCTACGTAAGCAACCTCTCTTTAAGCAACATTCTTTGTAAGCAACCTCTATACAAGCAACTTTTTTTAGTTCAACTGTTCTGTATAAGCAACTTATTTTTTAAAGCTAAGTATTTGAGTTAAGTTTAGGCTAATTCAGAAGTAAAATCAGCTGTTCACAGCAACATAACCTCAATTTATAAAAAATTCTGTTATGCCATGCGTAAACGCTACAGGTATGCATAAATTATGCCATGCGTAAACACTACAGGTATGCATAAATTAGGTTTGATGATGAGAGGGAAATCAAAATCTCCTCGTTGTTTCAAAAATATAAATTTGCCAGTATATTATAAACCATCCAAAAATGCTTAGCAAACCTTTTTTAACGACTGATATAATGATATATTCATATCTTCAGTAACTCGAATAAATAGTGCAATTTGTCATGGATCTGAGAATAATTTTACTGATAACTCGAATTTATGTTTTATTAAGTTATGTTTTTCCCCCCTAATAACACATAATAATAACACACCATTATTGCAACCCCTAGATCAAAATGTGATAAAATCACTAAAACAACGCTATTGCAAACATCTACTTGGATGTCTTGCAGCCTTAGATGCAGATGATGGAATAGTTTTAGCACTAAAAAATATAAATTTGAAAGATGTTATTCATTTAGTGGTACAGACATGATATGAAATTCCCGTGTCAGTTATACAAAATTCATTTAAACATCTTTTTTAAATTCAATACAACATTCCTTCCAACCACTTTTCAGAAGAAGATAATATTTCCCTTGACAAGATTGTCTAATTCGGTATTTAATTATTGTAATTTAGCAGATACTGAAATTATGGAGTGGGCAAGTGGAACAAGCGAAGCAAATCATCCATTTAACCTTGAAGAAAATCATGTAGAAAGTGAAACTACTCTTGTTAAAGAAAATGAATAAACGTTTGATGACTCCAATAAAAACATCAATGATGTTATAAATTCTTTAATTTGATGAGAGAATGCGCAAAAAAAAAAAAAAAAAAGAATTACCCTGCAATGAAGTTCTTTTGTTACTAAAAATAAGAGAAAAATCAAGAATTATATATAATATATAATATATATACATACATGATATGTATATACATATATTATATATAAACACATGTTATATATAATATATAATATATGTATATACATGAATTATATATAATAAATAATATAAAATATATGTAATTATTTTTGTTTGTTTTGGCAATTAGTCCTGTACTAAACCAAAGATTTATTAAAATTTGATTTTTTAAGTTTTTTTTTTCTTCATGAAATTATTAACTACGCGTAGTACGCGTAGTGCGTTTATATGATAATAATAATAAGAAAATATTTTCTTTTGCAAAACTAAACTGAATTTATTGTACACAGTTTAGTTAGTAAAAGAAATAAGTAGAAATATTTTACTTATTTCTTTTACTAATTAAACTGTAAGTTTAGATAGTAAAAGAAATAACGGTATTTTTGTACTTCTTTTTTCCCTACAAGCAACTTTTTTATTGAAATTGGTTCAAATGAGTTGCTTATATAGAGCGTTCATTGTATTATTGAAAAGCACATTAAAAGGTACTGTGGTTTATCCTACTCCGGTTAATTGTCATACAGAGGCCACAAAGGCAAAGGTCTGCAAAGAAAAGCTCAGCTCACTTAAGAGCATCATAACTCGCTTTAACGGACCAAGATTAAGTGGGTTTGGAGTGGAATAGAGTGTGGATTAACAACATATTTGTGAGTCAAAAACTAGCGTAAACTTATTGTAAGTTTAGCTTTTAAATTACGCAAAATTGTATTCACAAACTTTTTGTAACCCCTTGCGCACAAAAACTTAAAAAATTCTCAAGTTTTTACAAAAGATACAATATATACAATATACAATAATAGCATAAATATTAATCGAATGAAAAGAAACTGCCGTTCCGAAGTATTTTGAAATAACGCTATACGATATGATGCCAACGATTGGAGCATCATATTCCAAGATCGTGCAGCATCATAACAATTGCAATAGTTCGAAATACAAAAGACAAATCAAGCGTTTCTAATTTTTAGCTAACCTTAAACCAACTCAAACTTTAAACTATATTGAAATGTTTATTGCGAATTACTTTAGTAACTCTTACCACGGAAAGTACTTCCACGTATTTCCACGTACTTACATGTTTCTAATACTTCCCTGCTCTTTCAAATAAAAATGAACTTGAATATTTCATACAAGTTAAGCTGATAGAGTTTTTAACATATAATTGAAGCCGAAACAATCAAATATTTGGCCTTTGATTTATAACAAACTTTTAGTAAATTTTAAACTAATTTTTAAAAATTTCCTCAAATATGTTAAATGAAAAACTAATTTATCACGTAAAAACGTCGAAACATGTCTTTCAATCATAGATAAAAACTTATGAAACCAACAAGAACTTGTTCCAATATGATGGTAAAACCCGACGGGCATTTGTTTTTAAAAGTTACGTTCTAAATGTTCTCTATGTGTTTTAAACGTCTTTTAAACGTCTTTTAAACATTAATGCTTAAAAGATGTTTAAAAGACATTTAAAATACATTTAGATCGTAACTTTTAAAAACAAATGCCCGTCGGGAATGAGGTAAAGTGAAGTTTGAACCAAGGATCTTTAGTTTCTGAGGCAAGTGCGCTACCACAGCGCCACAGCAAGTTGTTTATCTTTTTATCTCGCCAAACTTTCAAAATATATCGCAAAACATTTTGATCCTTTTAATTTATCGGC